CCCCAAAACCCCAAAACCCCAAAACCCCACAGAATAACAATTGCAACTTAATTATGATTAATTATTAAAATGAAGGTTTTTATTTTGGCGTATGCTATACTTATTTACTAATATATTCATCTTGCAAGTGCTTAGTATCATGAACTGAATGCTCAAGTTAAACATCTTTCGAGTGAAGAATAGTAAAGTGGGTATAATAAAATAAAACTGTTGAACTTACTCTAATAACCATGTAATAAGCTTTAACGTTAAATTTGTAGTGTAGACTAATAACATAAACTAAATCGAGAAATAGTTATATGATTTTCATGATGTGCAACTATTCGCTGAAGTTTCAATAGGGAGTTAAAAATAGAAATTCAATCTTACTTTTGATACTGGATCTGCTGTAAATATTTAATTGCCAAAATGTTTTAGTGGATATGGGTAATGACCTCTGATTGTTTAACCTGTCAATTCCAAAAAAATTTATTCAAGTAATTTGAGTCAACATCTTTTGCTTACCTTGATTTTAATCCTACCAAAGTTACTGTAAGAAAATTCATATTTTAATAGCATTTTAGTATGGATCTGGGAGCATTATGGGTTTACAATCTCAAGATTAATTCTGTCTCTCTGACAACCATTGCTTACCAAACACTAAATTTCTTGGGACTTTTAAAACTCTTGGATTAAATGCTTTGATTTCTCAAGGAATAGTAGGATTAGCTCCTTCAAACCAAGGTTCTTAGTCATAAATGCTGATGGACTAGTTGAAAATTCATAGAATGATTAATTAAACAGTGTTTTCACTCTTAATCGATGAAAACTCATTGGTGTCTAAAATGACTATTGGAGGATATGATTTCATGAAATACAGTAAAGGTAATCTCTACTGGCATAAAATTTTAAACAACAAATACTGGACTTTACCAATAAATTAGATATCAATTGGAAACACTAAAATAAATTAGATTGCAAAATAAGTAATTATAGATTCAGGCACATCCTATCTTCTCGTTCCAACTTGTAAACTTTAAGAAAAAAATAAATTACTATAGAGGATTTTTAATAGATTGTAAATAATCTTGCATTTTTTATACCAAACTGTAAGACTTCCCTTATATTTTAAGGATTAATTGAATGTGATTGCAATGCTAACTAATACTCAAAGATACCTGGTTTGATAATCTAAATTGATTAGATTATTTATAAGTAAAGTATTCGCATTTAATACCTATTCATAGGCTATAAAAAGAAAATTATATTATATAGAACGGGGAAAAATGTGTGCTAAAAATCATGAATTATAATTTCGCTCCTTAATAAGAGATGTGGGTTATGGGATTGACATTTCTTCATAATTACTATACTGTATTTGATGTTGAAGGTTAAAGAGTTGGATTTGCATAATCGATTCTTTCACATAAAACAGATATGATACAAGTTATTAATACTTCTAGTCTTGCAAAAACACTAAATTTAAGCGAAAGATAGGAAATTTTAGTAGAGAGATCATTATAAAGTGATAAAAAAGATGTCTTTTACATTATTTATGCTGTTGTATTTGGCTTTATCCTCGGAATAGTCATAATTTTTGGTATTAGTAGCTTTAAAAGAAGACAAAGAAACAGATATCTTACTATAGATCAAAATCTGAACGAGCCTTTATTAATTCAAAATTGATTTTATGATAAAACCTAAATTGATTGAAGGGGTTTTGGGGTTTTGGGG